ACATAAACACATTGCATTACACAAAATACACAAAATAATGTTCTTTTTAGCAACTAAGCTAAACATGCTTAAATTAAAATGCCTAAAGCTAAACTTCCCTTGTATTCACATTTCTAAACCTGTTGTCCAACAAAAGAGAACATTATAACCTTTTTACTCCACAACACCAGTCAAATGCTTCCTTTTGTGATCTGATGTGGCTTCTTGTCACAGAATGAGGCAGAAAATATGTTCCATAGGCTACTTTAAAAAGAATACATCGATTAGCAATGGATTATAAATATACTTAATCTTTATGAAAACACCAGAGATGGCTTGAATAACACAGATAAACTATATTTTCGCAGTCGAGTGTTTATTGTCTTTGTTTTATCATTCAAAACGTTTATATGTTCTGTTTACTCAGTTACAGCTATAATAGCTATGCCTTTGTCCATATAAGGGATTTCCTGGAGGGTCATGAGTTCCCCTACTTCTGTGACTGGATATGTGGATTTTCTGTGCGAGGGCGTCTTCTGGCGTCCAGTATGAATGAAACAGATATCATGTGTTTATAGTGCTAATGGCCAATCCATCATTTTTTGGGGAATTTTTCTTTATTAATTTTTTTAATAAGTATTGTTCAGGCACCGTTTAGGCACCGGAACCGTTTTAAAAGTATCGATTTCGCACTGGTATCGAAAAAAACCCAAATGATACCCAAGCCTACTCATGTTTCCCAATTTCCTGCCCAACCACCTGTCAAACCCCTACAGTTAATCTAGTTTTTATTAAAATTAAAAAAATTAGGGAAATTGTAATTGCAGTTTCATATTAACTAAGTGGTGTAACAGTCCCTGAGGACTTCTGACTGCTGCATCAAGAGCTAATTAAGTTCCCTACATATAAAAAACAAGTTTGGGTTGATAATAAAACTCGATATCAGCAGCGCTATGGGGATGGCTCACCTGTCAGATCTGGCCTACATAACGCTGAAACTCAATCGGGGAATTCCAAATGCTCACCTGACACAAAGGTAACCCTTTGTGCTACCACAGAGTCCATATATCACCCCAGCACACATTAATGCATCTATTCTGAGCTGCTAAAGATGTCCCGCAAGGCTCAACAGTAAGGATTTTTTCTTCCCGCTGACCCAGCAGTTCAGATTTTAACTTCATTGGCTAAATCTATACAGATCTATTGTGTAATTCATTAGTACAGTAGATGTGAATCTTAACACTTGTCACACACAGGGGGTAAAGGTCACCTGATTGCTCATGTCTTGTGTTATGTCAGCTCTGTTATCTCGTCTTTCGGGTGGGAGAAGCGGGCATTGAAACACAACCGTGACCTGACAGATCAAGTTTGATTTCAGCTGACAGTGTGTTTGAGCTTAAGCGAGTGTGACATTGAGCACATTAGATCCCTGAAATCAAAGTCATTCACATCAACAGGAGGTGCTGCCCAGGGGAAATAACAGCTCCCAATAGCACCGTTTCAAGTGGCATGAAAATGTTCTGATACACTGAAACTCAAGAGCTACAATGATATGAGCAGATGGATTTTACAACACTGTGCTGCATGTGATTCACTGACATTAGTGTTTTACTTAAAAATATGGGAATGCTTATCTCATTTTACAAAAAGGAAACAAAACGCTTGCTTTATACACTAAAGATATCAATTTACCTGGGTAGGCACCAGAACAGGCGGATATGCTAGCTTGTGATGTCGATACATCCAGAAGGAGAGCAGGACAATGGCCGCGATGCCCATGATGGGTACGATGGAGTACAGAACAGTACTGAACAGTGGTGGCTTCTGAGTGAAGGGGTTAGATGTTGCTAGGGAAAGAAGAAGAATGAGAGAGATCAGTGCCGATCAATACTTTTTATTAGGTGCACGATGTACATTATTGTTCAAACGTTTGGGGTTGGTAATATTTTTTAAGAAGTCTCTTTTGTTCACCAAAGCTGCATTTAGTTGAACAAAACACAGTAAAAACAGTAGTGTTATGAACTAATATAACAACTTATAATACAAAAAAAATCTATTTTAATATATCATTTATTCCTGTGATGGCAAAGCTGAATTTTCAGCAGTCATCAATGTGCTTATTTGGCACCAAAGGAACATTTCTTAGTATTAATGTTGAAAACCTATTTTTTTATTTTTTACAGAAATCTTTGATAAATAGAAAGTCAAAAGCAGATCAAAAATCTTTACTGTCACTTTTTATCAATAAAAAAAAAAACACACAACAACAACAACAACAGCAGCAATCTTACTGAACCCAAACTTTAGAACCAAAGTGTATCTGTGACCAGCATGTTACTAGGATTAACTGGGAATTGACTTTGGGAACGTTCACACAAGACAGATTCCCACATTCTGTCATGAGCACCATTTACATTTAGTCTAATTTGTCTGTAAATAAAAAAAAAAAAGGTCTCATGTATGCATATAAAAGTCCACATTCTAAACTTTTATTAAAACTTATAAATTGGTTTTATAGTGAACTGCTCTATCAATAAATAAAAAATAAATAGATCATAAAACAAGTAAATAAATAAAATAAAAGGTTAATCGTATCAGCCACAACAAGCTGTTAATTATCAGTCCAGAAATATTGTAGTTTCCCTCCTAATACATAAATGCTATTTTGGAAACATTCCTGAAACCCACATCATTACGATTACTATTGGTTTAATAAGTGATATGAATGTGAAAATGGATGACATCAGCATTTGACACAAAACATTTTCCAGTTTTCATACAGTATTACTGAACGTACCATTGTACTGTAAGCTTACAGTAATACTGTAACAAATTACATATCCAGAGGGCCCCCGAATAAAAAAAAAAAAAAAAAAAAAAAAAGAAAAAAAAAAACCACATCCACCTCCAACAAACCGACTCTCATCCGACCCTACTCCACCCTTCCCCCACTCAGCGGGCAGAATGGCCACACGCAGCCGTGGGGCATGTCCCGTTTAGAGCGATTCAATGGAACTGCACGAGTGTGCGCTTGAAGAAGAATAGCATGCATGCTTAGTCAGTGCACACGGTGGCCCTCGATTTCTCTGCATCTAGTGCCAGAGATCGGATTGGGCCATGGCTGCTGGCCAGAGATGCAGTGATCCCTTGGTCTTATGTTATAGCAGAGCTTTTCCCATTCGCCTGGGCTGACCACAGGACCATGTGCGTGACCCACCCGGTCGAACTTCAGCTGAACCCGTATTAGCTTCGGTCCAGCAGAGAGAGATCTCATTCATGATGCCATTTCTTCTCTCTCGTGCCAGCTATGGACTTGGAAGTGGGTTAAGGACTCTGGATTAATCCACAAGCACAAGAAAAAAAAAAAACACAGACATCCACCCCCAACAAACCCACTCTCATCCAACCCTACTCCACCCTTCCCCCACTCAGCCGGCAGAATGGTCACACGCAGCCGTGGGGCATGAAAGTACCCGGTTACAAGGTCATAAAAAGCACACAGCTCCATGCTCGCAGAAAGCGAATTCTGAGAAACTCCAGTGCGCTTTGTGCAACTCTTCATGTCCCTGTGGGTTTTTGCATTTTATATCAAGATCATTCCATATGGAGTGAGTCAGTGCTGGAAATAGACCCATTACATAAGCACAAATGAGACCCCCCCCCCCAAACCACCCACCCACCTACCTACCTCCTCTCTGCTACTGAAGTACTGAAGACTCTTCTACCCAACACATTTACACTGATATAGACAGTTGTAATGTCAAAACTCATCAGCCAGAGCTCAACCAGTACTGCACACAACTAAACTCATCAGCCAGAGCTCAACCAGTACTGCACACAACTAAATCGGGTCATCTTTTCAAGAGACCACGGGCAGACAATAAATCATGACTGCTGAAACGTACAACTGACCCCCTGCAGGGAGCTGAGAGCAGTGGGCCAGTAGATTAGAACCGCTGGGTCTGTATTTGCTGACATGCCTCCAATCCTCATTTAGTTAAGAGGATGTTGATGTCAGTGTTTACTCAGAAGAGATAAAGCGACCAGATCAGCCTTGGTAATCTAAAAGACATGGTCATCTCTGGGGCTGCGAGAGCACGTTACGCTGTTGAAAGCCCAAAGACAGCAAAGCAAACTGATGTCTTCTATATGACATGCTCCACAATCTTCTAAATGTTTCATTTTATGATGGATGGATGGATGAAAGCCAAACAGCTCTGAGTTGCCAAATTACAGAATTGCTCAATATAGATGGTTGTTCAGAAGCCATGCTCATGTTTGGTTTATGTATTTTGAGGATCTATTGCAGTTGATGAAGATCTACACGGGTTCAAAATCTGTAATGTTAAGCTAAGACATTTCAGAACAGAAACAATGTAAAACTGAAGTACTGCTATTTATTCAATCACTCACATTCCACATTACAACTGTTTCAGCCTTACAATTTGGTTTAACTATGCTAAACAGTAAGTAGTCGACCTACTTTATGTAACATATAAATGTTGCCTTTCATTTTTGTACAACAAAACTGTTGTGAATGTATAGTACACTTAAAGGTAAGAATAATAATAAAAAAGAGAACAGATACATTTCTGCATCTAAAACCCCTAGCGAACTTTCTGATAACTTTTACAGCTACTCAATGATTATTTTCAAAACTGCTTAAGCCAGATATTTAATGTTCATCTTTTGCATCTGCTTCAGCTCCATCCAATGTGTTGGAGCTTGTTCACACAGGCATGCTTAGTTTTTTTTTTGCGTTTCTGATATTAAATAGCACCTGAATTTAACAAAAGCCTCTGGTTGCAGCAACATCACAAAAATCAATTTCAATTTTACAGAGAAACCTGCCTCTCTGATAAGAACTTCAACTGCATTGAAGAAAAGCAAAGGTTACGAAACATAAAAAAGCCTGATGAGCTGCATCAATAAGATAACATATGAGACAGACAACAAGCTCTTCATTCAAAAGCAGATTAATCCGCAGCCATTGAGCTATGCAGTGGTCACGAGAAATGCAGATATGAATAAGAGCCTATGTATACAGTAAATAAGAGATCAGTGGTGGCTTGGTCAAGATAAGCATATCAAAGCATATGTTTTGATCAAAGAAATATAAAATTATCTGAACAAAATGAATAAATAAAACAGAGTTTATAAAAGTCCTTATAATCTTTTGCTTAAAAGCAAATGGATAATTTGATATTTCCGAAATCAAATGTTAAATTCAAGGCAAAACTATAGAAGGAGGGCACAATGGATTAATTTGAACTGTAAATCTATGCAAAAGCTAAATTGCACACCCATGAGATACTATCAAACTCAAATAGCTCACAGAAACCGAACCTCATCAATATCACTTAGAAATATGTTGAAATCAGACCAAAAAACATGCAGAACCAACTTCAGTTGCAATATAAGTTTCCAACAGGAACTAATAATGAACATTTACGCGATAACACTTTGAAATTTTAAAAACCAGCACCAAAAAGACAGCTAGTTGATTTCATATAAACATCATAACATTGATATATTTTGATGTTCTGCTAAATGCATAAATGATGTGACATATCATAAAACACAGTAACAGAGAAAGTGCATACATTGTTAGTGGTCTTCCTAATGTGTAAGTTTTAATACAAGTTTTTCATTAAAGATTTATGTTCATAACATGTAGCACACAACACTGATGTACAGACTCTGATGTACATGTACTGAACAGTTGAATTGCGGCTCAAAAAAGGGTCGCTACACAAATAATTCAGGCCATGAAACACGTGGAAAAAACAATAAAATGGAGATGAAAAAGCAGTGAGCCTGTTATGATTTTTGACATGAACAGTCATGAAAAACGCCATGAGAGGATCTTCGAGGTAATTGATGATTTTGATAATGAGGTTATGAGGTAACATAGGTTATGAGGAGACAAAGACAGAAAGGAGGGTTTCACACTGACAGAATCAAACGCCAGAACAATTACATCAGAGGAAGGGGTATAACTGAAGAGCTTCCAATACCCTTAAAGACTTTGCTGTTTGTGTCGCTGAAGGGAGCCTTACTCTGAACTGCCGGCATTTCAGGGTTGTAGAAGAATTTCTCGTTGCACATGTTGCCCTCACAGCAGCAGAAGAACACATCCGGGTCCTCCTTTTTTTCAACACACTCAGTGCTGTAAGATAAAGAACAAGCAGAGCTGTCAGCCCACAACTGTTGTTCTTTTTTTGGACTTTTGTAGAATTATTTCAATTTGACTCTAATGTTAAAAGGAACAAAAATACAACAGTCAAATTTTCAACCACTGAAACTTCTAGTGGACAACATATTTTGAATGTTTCATCAGTTCACCAAAAAACATGAAAGTGCACAACAGTACGTATTGATTACATGCAATTAATTCGATTAATTACATTTATGTTATGTAATTTTAAAAACTTTCAAAACAAAAAAGACCGATTGGCAGCACTATTTTTTTCAAAATCATGAAAATAATTTTGCCAATAAAATAAAGATGGCATCACATTTGGAGATAATTAAGACATGCATGCTGCAAGGCTTATTTGGATTTTGCTCGGGTTAGAGAGCAAACAAACGGATAAATTCACATAGACGGAAAATGCCTGTGCCAAAGAGATACTTTTTAAAATCTGGCAGCCCACATCAAAGCAGAGCTCTCAGGTTGGCTTAAAGAAGATAAACAAAGCTTAGCAGCACACCAATAATCCTTAAGATACATACGAACAGGTGCAAATGAACAAATAAGAGGGGAATGGATGACATTCCAGAGGCATTTAGTCAGAAAAGTGAGTCCGTGAGTTCCTGCTTGCGACGCACACGCGCCAAGCGTTTGCAATACTTGCTTAGCTACCTAAGGACTTGACATGGCAGTGCAATGTGCATGAAAACAAAAAAACAAAAACATAAATCCTTCCAATGAAAGAGGTAAACGGGTTCAGCAGCATGTTAGGACAGAAGTGCTGCTGCCTTTGCACGCTATCAAAACACCTCTGTTCAGGACAAATACTTCCTGATCTGCAAGTAGTGCTACCTGTTGCATAGGGGCAGAAGCGCTGATAAGACGGTTTTTAATATCTCCACTATTATGGATGGAGGTTACAAGGTTCACAACCAAACCTTAACATGGAAACATGTTTACACAAGACTTTATCTGAAATACTGTGAAATCTTGAGAAGGAAGAATTTGGTTAAAAGTCTCTGCAATGTACATAGCATTGACCATGGGCAATATATACCATTTAGGCAATTTAGAAGTTAGACAATCCTTGAAATAATAATAATAATAATAATAATATAAAAGTATACACTAACGTTGAAAAGTTTGGGGTTGGTACGATTTTTTATTGATTTATTTTTTAATTTTTGAAGAAGTCAAAAATACAGTAAAAACAGAAATGTTGTGAAATAATATTAAGTAACTGTTTTTGATTTTATTGTTTTAAAATGTAATTTATTCGTGTAATGGCAAAGCTGGACATTACCTCTAGTCTTCAGTGTAGGCATGGGCCGATTACCGGTTTCAAGGTATACCGCGATTTGAAAATTTCACGGTTTCAAAACCGGTAATATTTTCCGTTATACCGTTCCTGCGGTATGCGCTGTTTTTCATGTCTCCTCAAAGACTGAAAGTGTAGGAATTCCTCAGGTTGAGTGCAGTGTAGAGAATAACATGACCCTCCTCCTCCTGTTGGTGCAAGCGAGCGGTCAGTCACGTGTGTACTGTGTAGGATGGCCGAACCTAAGGAGCTTCCCCTGGAACTTACGCGATCGGCAACCGGCCGTTTTTTGTCTTATTGCAAGCAACTCGTCTCTGTTCTGGACTTGCACAAACTGCGTTGCAATGCAATCGTTTTCCAAAATGT